ATATATAGTTATTATTTTTTTTTTTTTTTACAAGGTTCAAGAGAAATACTGTATCGTAAACAACAACATGGTTTGATGCAGAAAGATGTGCACACCTTGATATTTTTGTGATGGGAGAATGTTTCTGCTGTTTGTCTTTACAAATCTTTTTAAGCTCAGTCCAGTTGGATGAGGACTGTAGATGAAGCCATTTTATGGTCTTTTTAAAGATGTTCCACAGCTCAGGGTTCTGGCTGTGCCACTCGAACAATCACTGATTTGTCTCTAAACTACTTGTGACTTATCTTCACTGTAAGCGTTGGGTCATTATCATGTATCGTCATCTGAGGTCCTGAGCACCAAGGACTAGGCTATCTTTGAGGATTTTTCTCTACTTTTTTACCACTCAGCTTTTATTCAACAATTATCAGTCTCCCAGACTCTGCTGCTGAAAACTCCCACTGCATAATGCTGCCACCGCTATGCTTCATTGCTGGAATGGTTGTTTGCAGTTGAAAGAGAAAAATTGTACTTTTGTTTCTTTTAGAAATAACATTTAGAATTCAAACCAAATAGGTTAATCTTGGTAACACAGTTGGTAGAGCCTCTTTTTTTTTTTTTTTTTCATTTGCCCTTTATTTATACAGGTAGTCTCATTGAGTCATGAGAACTCATTTTCAAGAGAGACCTGTTTTTGGAAGCAAATGGTGGGGATTAAGGGCCTTGCTCAGGGGGCCAGAGTGGGGCGAATGAGGGTGGAGGCAGGTGTGGGTGTTTCACCTTTTCCACCCACATTTTGATTTTGACGGTACTGGGAGTTGAACCTGCGATTTTCTGATCACAGGCCCATCTTCTCTAGCCTCTGCGCCACCACTCCCCACAGAGCGGTTGCCTCGCAGCAAAAAGGTTGCTGATTCAAATCTTGGCCGGGACCTTTCTGGGTGGAGTTTGCATGTTCTCTCCGTGCATGTGTGCATTTTCTCCAGGTACTCCAGTTTACTCCCACAGACCAAAAACATGCATGCTAGACTGATTGGTAACTCTAAATTGTCTTTAGTTGTGACTGAGAGAGTGAATGGTTGTTTGACTCTGTGTGTCCCTGTGATGGACTGGAGACCTGTCCAGGTGTCCCCCACCTCTTGCACAGTGATTGCTGAATATGGGTGCAAGTAACCCCGCGACCCGAAAAGGAAGAAGCAGTTAAAGATAATGGATGGATGGATGTGCCAATTTTGGTTTTATCAGACTGAAAAATAAGCCTCAGTCTGAAAGCACTTCAAGCACCTGCATCGCAACCATTATAAGTGAAGGGGACGTGCCCCACCCCCCCACATTCAAAGAAATATTCATTTGGACCACACACACACACACACACACACACACACACACACACACACACACTTTTACCATTAAATGTTATTTCAGTCAGTGCAGTTTCTCTTTCTTTGTGAACAAATCCATTCCACTTGATTAATAGGAGAATACTCAAAACACTAAAATTCCACTCCAGGTTTTCCTGGTGTACATTTCAGCAGCATGCAGTGTGTCTGCTCTGCGTCTCCTCCTGCCTCGGCAGAGAACGCCCTCAGGTGCAGGAGGTAGAGATGCCTCTGTGTTGCTTGCTCACAAGTTTAGCGAGCTTAGTGCATGCAGTTGTTGACCGGGGGGTTGATCATAAACATATATTCATGTTAGGAGGATGCTTGAAAGAAGTGGAGCGCTACGTCTGTAGCATCTTAGCTTAGCAGTAACTGTGCTGCTCTAAGACGCTGCAGGTGTAAGATGCTGTGTGTTAAGGTGCATTAAAGTTGAAATGTCTTTAAAATCCCACACCTTGTTGTCCTCAAGCTTTGTGAGAAACATCATTTAGATGAGTAGTGTTGAACACAAGTAAAAAAGTCCAGTGATGATGTTTTATATTTCTCTATGAAAACAAATAGAGGCTTCTATTGAACCGCTCTGTCATACAGTCCAGATTGTTGGAGGCCTGCAGTTCTGATTGTTCTTCTGGAACCTAGTCCAATCTCCACACATGATCTCTAAAGCTCAGTTAGACTGACCGTTGGGGTTGTGCTCACTTATAGCATCTCACAAGGGCCTTTCTCCTTCTTTTGGAGGAGTCCTGGCAGTGCCAAACTTTATCTAAGTGTGAACTTTGTTGTGCTCCTTGGAGCCTTCAGTGCAGCAGAAGTTCTGTGTTGCCTTCCCCAGCTCTGTGCCTTGTAAAATATCAGTCTCTGAGCTCTGCTGCGAGTTCCTTTGACGCATATGTTTTTTTTGCTCTGATTGTCAGCTAATAGGCCTATAGAGAGGTGAGGTGTTTGCAAATAATGTTCAATCAATTGTATTTACTTCCAAAGGACTCTAATCAAGATGTTGAAACATTTCAGCAGAGATAAAGAGAAATGGGAGACAGCTAAGCTACATTTCAAATGCTACAGTAAAAGTCTGTATGTTGCGGGAGTTTCAGAGAAACTGAGACGTTTATTTTCTAAACATAACGTTCCAGTGGCTTTTAAACCCCAAAATACATTAAGGCAGAGATTGGTTCATCCCAAAGATCCAGTCCCCCGGCACAAACAGAGTAATATTGTGTATGCTGTTCAGTGTCAGGACTGTGATCAGTCTTACATCGGGGAAACTAAACAGCCACTGGCCAAAAGGATGGCCCAGCACAGAAGATCAACATCATCAGACAAGGATTCTGTGGTCTACACTCATTTCCAGACCAGCGGTCTCTCTTCCAGGGATGAAGATGTTCACATTCCTGATAGAGAGGAACGATGGTTTGAGAAAGGAGTAAAGGAGGCCATCTTTGTGAAAATAAACCATCCATCATTAAACAGGGGTGGAGGCCTCCATGTTCAATTGTCCCCCTCTTACAATGCTGTTATTGCTAGTATCACTCAGCCCCCTGTGAATAAAAAGTGGCCATCAGTGTGCTAACAACCACTTGTTAGGCTGATGTAGGGCTGGGCAATATCATATCCTTCACGATATTACTGGTAAAAAAAAAAGCTTGCCCGGACAAATAAATTATATCATGATATGCTAATTTCATGACGTAATACGTCAGGCTGCCCCACCCCGTTAACAGAACCAAGTGTGCCGAACGACCAAACCGAACTGTGCACCCCCCCTCCACCTGTCGGTACTGGTGTAACTCTAATTAGTTGCGTGCAATACTAGCTAGCTAAAAAGCTAAAAACAAACAACGCGTGGCTCAGCTGCATCTCTCCATTCAGCTCTAAACTTCAGGTACAGACAACTCAAATGTCTCTCCCTCCCCCCGCTCTAAGCTGCCGGCACAAACGTAGTTAGTCTTTTTTTCTCTTTCCCCACCCCGATCTGAGCTGCCGGTACAAACACACGTAGCTCAACTGTTTCTTAATTCCACAGTCAGTCCATCCATGGACCAAGAAAAGTGTCAGGTGATCAGAGACAGAGCATCAGATAAATTGAATCATTCCTGCAGGAACAGAGGAAGCTGAAACACCACAAGCTTCAGGGTCAGCTGATCACCTTGTTACAAGTTCTGGAAGTTATAGCTCATTTAAAGACAACATATATTTTGTTGTACGTTACATTTATTCTCAACAGATCTTAAGCTTCATTTTATTCAGTTATTTTGGGAAACTTCACCTACACTTTAGTTTTTGTGGTGGATTTTATTGATCTATATTTTGTGCATACTTTTTCAATCTAAATAACAGAAGGATCATTTTTATTTTTTAGTTTTATACTTGGAGACTGAATACTTTACTAAATGAAGTAATTTAGTAAAATTACCCCGTTTTTTAAATTTTACATAATACTGCAAAGCAACATGTTAAGTTAATTTTGTCAAATAAATAACTATGATTTCTGTTTATTTTTTTTGTTTTTTTGTTATATCACAAAATTTATCTTTATCGTCAGAATGCTCTGAAATATCACAATATTATATTTGAGCCATATCGCCCACCCCTAGGCTGATGGTCCTCCTTGATCATGTGAGCAGCTGGGTTTGGCTGTCAGCAGCAAACTGGTTGATCCACTATGAGAAGGGGCTATTTGTAAGACTGAGTTTACTGCAGCTCCTCAGACTGAAGAAGTCTTTTGGATAAAAGATGAAACGTTTCAACAAGTATTTTTTTTTAATCCATCCAAAAGACCTGGCTTAACTTTGTTAGATTTTTTAGGACTACTGAACATGCATCAGGCTACAGTAAAAGGTCTGATTACTTATGTAAATGTGATACTTAAGCTTTTTAATTGTTTTAAAAATATATTTTGTTAAATTTAGTTTGTATTACATCTTTATTGGGTGCTCAGTGTAGATTACTGAAAAAAAAAATCATTTATTATATCAGGCTGCATCAAACTAGAATTGAGAACAGTGTAGGTGGTGTGAATACTTCCTGAAACCCTTATGCTTTTGCCTTGTTTTTATCCATTTACTGTCACATTCAGCAGTAGGGTTTAAAGCTATGTTTTTTATGGAAACTTAAACATAAAAATGATATTATGTATCTGCTTTTAGGGAAACCTTTTCTAAAAGACAAAGTGGAACATTCACATTCCTGTATATTTTCTTAGACTCTCATTGTAAATAAATCTTCAAGGGTATAAATATCCGACTTTCAGTAAATGCAACCTAACAACAGTGCAAAAAATGAAATACAGACTGAAAATAAGACCCAAAACAAGGTAGTAAATCAGATAAATTAAATGTAATTTACTTATTGTGCTGCAGTGGTTTCATTCTGATTCTCCTACACACAAACCCACTGAAAGTTGCCATTTTGGCCAATTTATGTGAAAGTTCAGTTTTTGCCTGCAGCATTTTTAAATCTGCACAACCATTTGCTCAGATTGAAATGTCCCTTATTCATCAACAAGAAAAAATCAAGCAAATGTGCCATGTTTCTTCAGAGAATTACACCAACACTAAGCGAAAAAATTCAAGTAATCAATCCCATTTTCTCAATACCAGTAAAGAGCTGGTGGTAATCCTGTGCCTGTAAAGAAGCTGCTGAGTTACAGAAGGGTGAGCATTCTGCCCTCATGGCTGCATAACTGTTAACCTTCATCAGAGCCAGTTAGCTGGTAATTAATGCAGGCTTGATCCTCATCATTGTTATCTGCCTCCTCCTTGTTTTTTTACACTGACTTTGGGTTCAAAGAGCAGTTCAGAACCATCCCTCTGCAGAAATTAATACACAAACATAATCTGAGTCCTCCAGAAGTTCATGCAATGCAACTTTCTACAGCTAATGGAAAAATGTTTTTATTTTTAAATTGACAACTTCTAATACTGACTGTCTTTCATTCGTTGGAATAATTTACGCAATGATATAATGATGAAAAGTAGGATGATCTCCATTAGTAAATTTAATATAAAGTGCTTTGAATTCAGACATTAACGTAATAGAAAAGAAGATTCCTTATTACGCATTTAGTTGATAGCTGTTCTCAGTCCTTTTGTCCGGGTCAGTCATTTAGTACACCATAACATTACCACATGAAAATATTAATTAAATTCTTTCATGGACTTTCCATTAGTGCAACAATAGTTTTAAGCATAAAAATAACTTCCATAGTGAGGTCCTAGTTGCAACATATGAGGGTCTTGGATGGAGAAAGATGGCAAAGATGACTGTGCCCATTACGTGGGGCGTGCTCGTACTGTCGTGGGTTGGCCTTTAAAAATGTGAAGCAGGACTGAGTAATACACCCTCACCATGCTGTCAGCATTCTGAGAAAGTTATTACCATGTGATTCTAACAATTAATCCACACTCTCCACTATAAAAATACTGTGCCAACCTCAGGTATATGAAGGAAAATTAAAACACGGTCATGGAAACAACGTAGCACAGACATGAAACTTCATGGTAGCGTGTCATTGATCTGTTAGCTTGAAGCTATGTGCTGCCTTTGACTGAGAGTGTTGGGCCAGTGTGGCGCCCAGCTGTGGACTGATCATTGGCGTACATCGTGGTATCTTTATGGGAATATGTAGATGATGTGTATATCATGGTGACAGTGTAGGAGAGCACCTTGAGCATGCCAGAAATAGCAGGTAAAACCTACTGTATGTGGCATTTAATAAGAGTGTGACGTCACGTGTGCCGCAGTATGGAAGCACTGATGGGAGCTCCGCTTCAACTCGCTCTTTTTTTGTTCCTGTTTTTGTGCACCTACACTGCACACCCACGCTACGGGTATGACTGTAACACACGTTTGGAATTTTGTGTGCCTCTGACTTGCCATCCTGCCATCATGGTTCAGTTTCTGACCCCCTTCCAGCCTTCCAGGCTGAGGCTCTGGCCTGTCATGGCAACCATCTCCATGATCCTTCATCTTCCTGCATGGACCAAACTCTACTAAACATTTCAGTTTCACAGGGAAACCTTGGATGTTCTGTGTCTGCCAGGCCAGATTCTGGAGGGCAGTTACTGTCCGTTGCCGCGGTCGTTATTATGATCATGCTGCTGATGAGACCGCGCTGCTAACAGAACCACACTGCTAACAGTACCATGGCGCTAATGGGACCATGCTGCTCAGAGAACCTCACTGCTAACACAACTACTCTGCTAATAGGACCTTTCTGCTGTAGATGTATTTCTTTTTCACTTTTGTCACCTTGTTTTTGTATTTTTGTTGCATGCTTTGGTATTTCTTGTTCTTGTTGTATTTTTGGCGAGTCTCGTCCTGAGCCTTTAGATGCATTGTTGACCTTGTGTTGATCTGCATTTGACAATAAACCTATAAGAGCGTTGCAGTATCACAACTGCCTTCACACTGAAGGAGATTTTCCATATTTGCTATGATCCAGCCACGTTTTAATTGTTTGTGAAGTTCATGGGTCTCCATTCAGTGTGAAAGGGGTGTTTTCTAACTTCTGTGTGTTTAGAACCTCAACACAAAAATTCTTAACTCTTTAGTGTGTAAATGTCAGTATGGATAAAAACTGATGCAGCCTTTTCTTTCCAGTGACCCAAATTGCTTCATAGTGGATTTTTAAGTGTTTACCACAAATAGGGCTGAGCTATGGTTGTTTTCAGAGGAGAGAAGTCTTTACTGTTTATAGCACTAGTTAAAAATGCATGGAGTTGTGTTGAGACTTCTTTCCATATTTTTCTGTGATGATGGAAACTAAAGCTGCCAAGTGAACAAGGTCACATTCTCCCCTGAAATAATTCTCCAACGTATTGAAACTTCCTCACAAAGGCAGAATCACAATGACATTTTTTTTTAAAGAAAATACAGAGTTGTCACCATATAAAGTAAATTTATCTTCACACGTCAAAGTAATGTTGTCATTGCTTTATTAGTTAAAAAAAAATCAACATTAAACTGTTAAGATGGAAAGTGCTAAAGGTTGAGCTTCTTTTATTATATTTCTGTTTCGCCTCTTCTAATCTTTCATTATAGTTTATTTTTATTATTCCTCCAGGCTGCTTTTCGCACAGACCTTTCTGTCCTGCTGGAGCAGGTCGGGAGTGGAAAGGAGTCCCTCAGCTTCATGAAGCGCAGAATTCGACGCCTCGCTCAGCAGTGGGCAACAGCCGCCAACCGTCTGGACGTCAAACTGGGGCAGCGATGGAGAGACCAAAAAAAGGCAAGGAGCTGGCTACGTAACGTGTCGAGAATTTGTTGCAGGGTTGTTGAAACTGCTCGTCACTTGTCTCGTGCTCACTGTAGACTGGATCTGGATGAATCTCTGCATGCACCAATATATTTGTATTCATACATGCCATGGACATCAGTTGCTGTTTGAAAATGCAACTTTGATGTTCAAAGATTCAGATTCAAAAACCACAATCTCGGCCTTGTCTGAGTTTTAAACAGAGTATGAAGAGTTATCCCGGTTGTTATATCTTTTAGACAAGCTTGTTAACAAAGTAACTGATTGGATTCATCAGGTTTCAAGGACAAATATAACTGAGTATCATCAGTATAACAATAAACTGTTATCCTGTGCTGTCTAATAACTTTACCTAGTCGAATATATAATGTAAAGCGTATTGGTCCAACCACTGGACCCTGAGGAACTCCATGATTCAATTCAATTTCAATTTCATTCAATTTCAATTCAATTCAGTTTATTTATATAGCGCCAAATCACAACAAAGTTGTCTCAGGGCACTTTACAGAAACATTCACATACATAAAAGCCAATTAGTAAAGTTCTCTATCTGAGGAATGATAAAACTCTTATGTAAGAAGATGATTCCTTAATAAAATGAACAAACATTTATTTATCAGATAAATATGATTTTAACCATTTCAGTCTTTCCTTTAATCTCAATATAATGTTCACCCTCTGTACTAAAATATTATGATCAATTTGATCAAATTCAGCACTGAGATCTAACAGAACAAATATATTTTTGAAAGTATTAAAAGCTTTTAACTTTTGACCCAGCCATATAATTGAGATTTGTTTATTTTTATTCAATAATTTTGTTTTTTTACATATGTGATTATTCCAGAAACATTCCAATGCACAATTCAACGTCTGATAATATCATGAATAAAAGACCTGTGAAAAACTTGGTTTAAAAAACAAACTTTGTGTTTGTTCTACTGTGATCAAATGGTAGCAGTAGTGCTACTACAAACTGTGAAATGTGAAAAACACTGAAAACGACAACAGACATTGCAGCTTTTTTAAATTATTTAAAAAAAACATCTTGAAATAATGTGTGTCTAAGAATGCCCATCTTGAGTTTTCTATTTTAAACTCACCTTATTAATTTAACAGCCCTTGATATCATCATGATAGTCTGACCTGTTGTCTCTTTTAACTGCAAATGTCTTATTTATGTATTTATTCAAAGTCTATCAGTTCTGTTACTTTTGAATAGATCTTTTCTGCTGTATCACATAATAAAACAGCTTGCTGCTAAATCTGTTGTAAATGGGCTCAACTTCTTCCTACTGGTAGTCAGTCATGTCAAAGAAACAGCAGGAGAGTAAGAAATATTGATGTGGGGATGAATAATAGAGAAGAGTTGAAAGCAGGAGAGCATCTAAGGTGGGATGATGATGAATGACTGGGATTATGACGTGACGCCAAACATGTGCCAGTAACAGAGAGAGAAGAATGAGACAAGAAAGGAGCTACAAGAGGGGGATGGATGGGACTGTGGAATATAGATTAGCAGAGGATTGATGACTGGAGGGAGTAGTATGCTGCTGGGATGAGAGAGAAACTAGGCCTTGGAGACCATGTGACTGCATGTAGGCTTTTTCATTAGAGCCTGGTTTAAAATATACAGCTAAAGGAGCAATTTACTTTTCCAAATGGAAAAAAATCCATTGATCCCTCCCTGCTGCAATGCTCACTCTGCACTGAAGGAACTCTTTACATTTGAGCTCAGAATGTATTGATAAATGAGTATGACGATGCCAGAAGGCACTTTGAGTGTGCACACTGCCTCTTGTTTCCAAAATATTTCCCTTTGCCCTCTTTCTAAATAAAAGTTAACAAGGGTGGAAATGTTCGTCTGTCTCTCTGATTGATGTTCTCCTTCCTGGTTCTGCACTAAGGATTTGGTGTGCTAGATCACAGCCTCTTGGCTGCTCCAGCCTCATATTGCAACGGCAGAATATCTTGTGTTTGTAAGAGTTAACTGCTTGTAAAAAGCTGTTTATCTCAGTGATTTGAAAGTGTAAAAAGAAATGTGTATGAGTGTGTGGGTGTGTAGGTGTGTGCGCGCGCGCGTGCGTGCATGTGCATGTGCATGTGTGTCATTCTGTGTTTATGCTGAGGTTTATTTAAGTTTATTTTTAAATATATGCAAAAAATAGTTTCAATTCAGACTCACAGCTCTCCTTGTAAAAGGTGCCAATGCTGAAAAATTGAAGCATTTAGATTACAGTTTACACATTAGACAAACGTGAAAAAAATATATCAATCACGTGGCTCAACTGGAAATATTGTGCTATAAGATTTGTAACAGTATGTCTTAAAGGGACCTTCAACTAGTTAGAACTATAAACCTTATTTAATAAACAATTACTTTGGCTATAAAAATAAAACCCTAAAAATACTGTAGGCTGTTTAGTTTGTATAACTGTTTTTAAATTATTGACACAGAACTCACCGATTTATTTATGTTGCAATGCAAGCTAGGTAAATGATGTAAACATGCTGGTTCTGTGCAGGCTCCATTCAGCTTGAATGTTAATTTTGGACTTTATCTGATGTTCAGCCTTTTAAACCAGCCCCCATTAAACCAGCCTCTAGGGGGCACAAGTCAGTGTATCTCTTGTGCCGGTCCCAAGCCCAGGTAAATGGTGAGGGTTGTGTCAGAAAGTGCATCCAGCATAATTCCC